AGACAAGCATGCACACATAAGCCGTCTAATCTTTGCACAAGGCTTTTGAGAAGTAGCCAGTAACACACTAACCATGCTGAACTGTCTAAAGAAAATGACGACTCCAGAATGTGCATTTTCAGTAAGGGGCAATAGCCCGAACAACATTCTATTCAAAAATAAAAAGATCCTAAGACTGAAGGGATTTAAATAAATGCACCCCAAAGGGGATAACACGGCTAACAGATGTTACCTTCAAAACTCCTCAAACTCAAATAAAATCAAAGTCAACATTATTGGTTGCTGCTCAAATAGCAGACACAGAAAATGGTCACTACAACGTGAAAGCAGATTCTAAGCTTTTAGCTGTTACAAGTCATGAATTCTAGCACCAGAGATTCACAAAATAGCAATTGCTGAAGGGTAGATTTGTAATGTGACTAGCAATGACACAAAGCACCACTACCAAGGCAGTTCCCCAAAATGCCCTGTAATTAACTTCCATAGGGAGTTTTCTGCCAGTAACAATGGAGAAGGCGTTCGCATGCCCGCACTACAGGTGATGAGTCCCCAGTTGGACAACCAGGTAATGTTCAACATCTCACATATTTCCCGCTGAGGTTAAGTTTCCAACACAGGAAAATAGTGAAATGCAATCGCCTGGCAAATACAGATATATATACACTTAAAACACCAGCAAGTAAAATCATTTAATTGCTCAACCATGGGTCCTACGATTCTGTTTGCACAAGGCTGTGGTCAAGGCTACTTGAGATTTCACACTCTGACATAAACATTTTTGAGTCAACTGCAGTTTGTGCCTCTTCTTTGTGGCAGGATTAGAAATACATCTGACCCCTATTTGGAGGCTACTTTTGAGAAATGTCACCCGAGGCATGTTTCTAGAGCAGTTCTGAGGTGACAGCCACAGCATCTCTTATCGACTAGTAGCAAATCTCATTTCAGCAGACAGGTGCTCCAGAGAATTGTTTTGCTTATTTCAGAAGAGTGATGACGCTGGCGATAGCATTTGTGGAGTTCCTATTTATGTCTTGTGCCTTTATTAAGAGATGAGTGTTTGGAACTGTGACATTTAAATGTAAGACTTGTTCAAACGTGAGCAATTCTTCAACATACTTGGTGGAAAAAAATAAAAATGCAGAATAGTATTCATAACGTTTGTATAATTCCATTTGCATTAAAAAAGACATTGCTTATACATGAATTAACTATTATACATATAAGATTGACTTCAAGGGAAAGGAATCGGAAAGCTGGAAAGGGATGACATTGTGATTTTTACTGTTTACTCTTTTGTAAGTATGAACCCAAGGAGTGAATAACCTCTTCAAAAAAAAATTGGCTTTTTCCTCCATAAGTCCCTTTCTTTAAAACTCACACTATTTTGTTCCAGTTTTCAAAATATTACTGCTGCTTTAAACCCAGATGGCATAACTGCCCTATGTCTCAAGAACCTCAGA